GCTTTTCCTCCCCAATCAAATGATTACCTCTAAGAAAAGCACTTAGGTCCCAATTCCACAAAGGCCTATCTTTTCATGTCAATGGAACTACTGACAGCAGGGCTGGCTCTAGGTTTTTTGCGGCCCCAAGCAAAAAAATTTGTGGCTGCCCTCCACCCCAGCCCTGGGCTCTCCCCCCCACCCCACCCACACCCTCTGCCGCCCCAACTCTGGGATCTCTCCCCCACCCACACTGCCTGCTGCCCCAGCGCTGGGCTTCCCCCCACCAGCGCTGACTCTGCATGCTCCCCCCTCGCCTCCAGCCAGTCCAGTGCTGGCAGGGTCGGGGTATGCAGCGGGGGCTCCCAGGCCGTGCCTCAGCCCAGTGTCCCTCCAGCCAGGGCTCCCGCCTCCAGGACCGGCCAGGACCAGGGAGGACAGAGCCGGGGGACTGCCCCAGCAGGGGGCTGAGGAGCCGGGCAGGGCAGCCCCAGAGAGCGGGATGCGGGCCCCACACGGCAGCGCCCCGCCCTCTATGGTCCCGCTCCTGCTGCTGTTCCTGGCTGTCCTGCCGCAGTCCCTGGGTGGCTCTGGCTGCTTCACCTAGCGCCGGCTGTGGCGCTGGGGGGCAGCTGCCCTGCAGCACCTGCAGGTGGCTCCGTGTGCCCCGAGGGGCAGCCCACAGCTTGAGTGTCCCGCGCTCGGAGCCCGCCTGGCCATAAGGTGTGGGCGCTGCTCCCCGATGCGAACCGCAGCAGCCCCAGTGTGCCCCCGATGCAGGATGCGCTGCTGCTGCCAGGGCCGGCTCTAGGCTTTTGCCGCCCAAGTGCAAAAAAAAAAAAAAGACTGGCTGGAATGCCACCGCTGAAAATGTGCCACCCCAAGCACCTGCTTGGTTTGCTGGTGCCTGGAGCCGGCCCTGACTGACAGTGTGCAAAACTAAGCATGTATGCCTTTGCTGGATTGAGGTCTTACATGGGAGGAGCGAGGCAGTCAACATAAATTCCTATGGCAATCAGATTTCTTTTGCTAATTATCTTCAATATCATAAATCTACTATTCTTCCAATTGTCCAAGAAGTCTTTTTGGGGAAAAATAGATTGTATGAGACTGGAATTTCTATGGGGACGGGGGGAGGGGTGGAGAAAAGAAAGCAATTAAATAAAGTAAGAGAAGACCTGACAGGTATTTCATTATTCATTATAAAAAAGTAAGGAGTGGAAATCCAATTTTTCCCCTTGGTAGGTCAACTATAAAAATTCTGGGTGCACTGAATCACTGGCTTGACTAAACTAACTATGGCAGCTGTGAGGAACAGAGTGAAGGCAAGCAGGATTTGGCCAAACATATGTGTTTTACAAAGCTCAACTCATACCCATAACTCTATTATTTCTAATAATGTGTAAGCAGGGTCTGAATGAGCTCTCCCCTGATATCTAGTGATGAGCTGTGGGGAGAAGACTTCAGGAACTGATCTGGTTTGCATAGACACACCCACTCTGCCTTGTTGCACAATATGAAGGAGCTGCTTTGCCCAAATTATCATTTTTGGCTAGTGTTGGATTGCAAGGCACTTTATTATTGGGTTTGGGGTAATAAAGGGTTATCCTTGTGTGAATCAAGGGGAGAACTGTGCTTGGCATGCCCTGATTATAGGGTTATAATAATAATAATATAAATTAATGGAGATATCCTATCTCCTAGAACTGGAAGGGACCTTGAAAGGTCATTGAGTCCAGCCCCCTGCCTTCACAAGCAGGACCAAGTACTGATTTTGCCCCAGATCCCTAAGTTGCCCCCTCAAGGATTGAACTCACAACCCTGGGTTTAGCAGGCCAATGCTCAAACCACTGAGCTATCCCTCCTCCAACAGTTCACCCTCAACTGAACTGTGCTCATTAAACAGTGGGTAGGGATGCCAAAGGTTAGTGGAGATACGTGTCTCTTATAGCAGTGGTTATATCTAAGGGTCATAGACATTATTTGATTCTTCCTCTCTTTCTCCTTGTTGCGGATTGTGGGGGAGTTAGGGCCCTGCCCCCCTCTCCCCGAGATTCACTGCACCTCTCACCCAGCCAGTAAAGCAGAAGGTTTATTTAAGGACAGGAACACAGTCTCAAGCAGAG